TCTCCCACTCCCCCTGCTTGTGTTCCCTCTCTCGCTGTGTCTCTCTCTGTCAAATAAATAAATAAAATCTTAAAAAAAAAAAAAAAAGAAAGAAAGAAATGCAAGTTCTGAGGCACCTGGGTGGCTCAGCTGGCTAAGCGTCCGACTCTTTATTTTGGCTCAGGTCATGATCTTGGGATCATGGGACTGGGCCTCACCAGCAGGCTCCATGCTCAGCACAGAGTCTGCTTGAGATTCTCTCTCTCATCTCCCTCTGCCCACCCCCTCCCCCCCACAGGTCCTGGCTCGTGCTCTCTAAATAAATAAATACATACATAAACACATACATACATAAATTTTTTTAAACGATTGTATTTATTTACTTGTCAGAGAGAAAGAGCACAAGCAGGTGGCACAGCAGACAGAGGGAGAAGCAGGCTCCCCACTGAGCAGGGAGCCCGATGCAGGACTTGATCCCAGAACCCTGGGATCATGAACTGAGCCGAAGGCAGACACTTAACCAACTGAGCCACCCAGGCATCCCAATAAATAAGATGTTAAAAGAAAAAAAGAAAGAAGTGCAGGTTCTGGGGTGCCTGGGGGGGCTCAGTCGGTTCAGCATCCAACACTTGGTTTCAGCTCAGGTCATGATCTCATTCTCATGGGTTGTGGGATGGAGCCCTGCATCCAGCTCCACCCTCAGCGGACAGTCTGCTTGAAGATTCTCTCCCTCTGCCCCTCCCCCCACATGTTCTTTCTCTCTCTCAAATATTAAATAAATCTTAAAAAAAGAAAAGAAAGAAGAGAAGAGAAGAGAAAAGAAAAGAAATGCAAGTTCTTGGGCCAGCCCAGACAGAAACCCTGGGGTTACACCCAGCAATCTGAGTGTTAGGAGCCCTCCAAAGGACTAAAATGCATTAAATCTGAGAACCTACCAGTCTTGCATACATTTTTTAAGGCCCAGCCCTACCCTAACTCATCAGCTCAAAGCACACACGGAAGTGAGTGCGGTGATGTGGGTCAGCCCTGAGAAGGGAGCCAGTGGCCCTGGGATCAGCCCTGGCTCTGTCCTTGCTTAGCTCTGTGACCCAGGGCAGGTCCCCACCCTGTCTCAGCCTCAGAGCCCTCAAAGCAAGGATGCTGGGAGCTGCCCTCCTGCGGCAGAAGATGTCCTTGACACTGTACCATTCTGTTCCAATCCCCATGCCTATCCCTGCAGTTCTCCATCACAAAGACTCAACACCGGTGTAGTTTCTTATCATAATTCTTGACAAATTCAAATGTTCCTTAAAGCCACAGAGGTTCCACTAGAGGAACGACAATAGTGACGCTCCTCTGTTGGAAGGACAGGGTTGAGGGGGGTGGGGCGCACGTGCAGATGAATGAATGATTTAGCTACCAGGAAGGAGTTACTAGAAAATAGAGTGGAATGCAGTCAAACTGGTAAACAAGAGAGTATCATCTCTCCTCCGTTAATACCACTCCCCAACACCTCTCTACATCCTTCTACCGGCAGAGACGCAGACCTGATCTGGGATGACGACCAGTGCCAACATCTAGATAATGAGATTGGAGGTACTTCCCGGCTTTCCCCTCTCAGCCTTCCTGTACTATGTGAATTTTGTATAAAGAACATGTATTATTTTTTCATCAAACAATAAAAACCATTACTTAAGAAACAGCATGATAAGCATATTATTTATCAATGCAGGAGGAAACGTGAGAAGAGTTAGAAGTGTCGTCACTAGAAACGGATGGAGAAGGAAGGTGGTGGGAGCAGAGGAGGCGTTTGTGTGTTATTTTGGCTAAAAAAAAAAAAAAGTATGAAAAACACAAAGAACTTCTGACACCTGCTACAACAGGGATGAACCTTGAGGACATGATGCTGAGTGAAACACACCAGACACCAGAGCACAATGACTACACTTACACGAGGTCCCGAGAGCGGTCAAAATCAGAGACAAAAAGCAGAATGGAGGTTACCAGGGGCTGGGGCTCGGGCCGGGGGTTAGTGTTTAATGGGGATGGTGTTTCAGTGAGGGATAATGGAAAGTTTCTGGAGATGGATGGTGGTGACGGTTGCCCGACAACATGAATGTACTTAATGCCCTGGAACTGTGCACTTCAAAGCTAGATGATAAATTTTACGTTATATGTACTTTACCACAATTTTTTTTAAAAAGGTCAAGGAGAGAAGAGACATGAAAACAAAAAAGGTGTGTTTTGATATATACGTCTGATATACTATTTTCTATCTGTGAATGGAGGCGGACTTGTCCCTCTGTCCTTCACGCTCACTCAAACTCTCTTGATTAGAAGCAGGAGCAAAAGGGCACAGACCAGCGCCTCCCACAGTGCACGCCGGCCTCATGGGCAGGACCACTGTGTGGCGAGGGGCTGTCCTGCGCTCTGCAGGACATCGAGCGTCCCTCGCCTTTACATACCAGATGCCAGGAGTCTCCCCTGCCCCTAGTTGTGACAACCAAAGATGGCTCTAGACATTGCCAAACATCCCTGGGGGACAATATCACCCTCAGTTGAGAACCAGTGGGTCAGACTGAGCCAGTGGTTACGGTCTGCGTTCTGTGGCCCCGGACAGGTAAGACACCCTTGGCCACCGTAAGAGTGAGGATCCCACACACACTCCCTCCTGCCCACAGAGGCCAGGCTGACAACCCTCAGGCAGACACTGTGGGGGTCTGCCTTCCCATCTTCCCCCACAGACACCCCTTACCCAGCCTGATGTCTCCCTCGAGGGTCATCAGTACGTTGCCAGCTTTCAGATCCCGGTGGATGATCTTCTTGCCGTGCAGAAAGTTGAGGGCTTCCAGCATCTGGCGGCAAACCACCTGAATCTGGGGCTCCGTGAGGCCTCTGTCTAGCTCTGCAAACAGAGCAGAACCACCGTCAAGTCAGCACACACTCACTGCATTCAATGTCAGGCTCGTGCCAGGTACAGGAAATACAAAGGCCCCCAACATCCCTAAGCACTTACCATGGACCAAGTTCACTTCCAAGCACTTTCCATGTTACCCATTTTGTCCTCATACTAGCACTATGGAGCAGGCACAGTTATTACCCCAGCTGACAGATGAAGCAGCCAAGGCTGAGAGAGGTCAGCCCACCTGCTCAAGGTCACACAGGCAGAAGCTCACAGATCTTAGATTCAAGCCAGCCAGTCTGCCTCAGAGCTCAGGTTCATAAACAAAACCCCTCCAAGAGGCCAAGACCCATTCTGCAAGCAGGCAGTGGGTGACATTCACTCCGTGTCAGCTCCACGCTTGCTGCAGGGACACGGAGAGGGGCGTGGGAACGGCGAGCCATGCTCAGGATAGAGTGGGATTTGGGTGGGGGCTGGGAGCGGGCAGGATGGGCAGCAAGCCCTTCTGCCTGGGAATTAGCAGGCTCCCCAGAAGGAAGGGCATTCAAGCTGTGTCTTGTAGGAAGAACAGGTGTTTGAGAGGCGAAAAGTGGGGCCAGGGCATTCCAAGTTATTCCAGGGCATTCTAGGGCAAGGAAGCAGCAGAAGCAGAGGCCTGGAGGCTGACACGGGCTGGTGTTGAAGCAACGTGTGCTGGTCGGGGAGACACACGCACGCTGGTCCATCCCAGTGTCTGCTTACAGATGGCGGGGCCCCTCTCTGAGCAGGTGGTGGGGGGAGCACAAAGAGGAGTTTTCCACACAGGGGGCACCGCATGTGCAAAGGACCCTTTTTGACTGAAGGGGAAGGATGAGGGGAAGGCGAATCGAGGTCAGAGGTCGGAAGGGCCTGATTGTGCAGGACCTCGCAGACCATCTATGAAGGCTACACTTGCTCTGAAACGCAATGGGCAGTCCAGGAGAGGCTCGAAGCAGGCAGAGACAATCTGACTTGTGCATTTAAGAAATTCTCCCTAGCAGGGTGAGTGAAGAGCCTGCAGGGGAGCAAAGAAGACAGGGAGCTCGGCCGGGGGCCGTCACGGTGGTCCAGCCAAGGCTTCGCAGAGGAAACATTCCCGACCCAAAGGCTGATTTCTCACGACAGAACGTGAGACGGAGAGGGAGGGAGGGAGGGCATGAGGAGATTCAAGGTCAACATCCTGTGCTCACTGACCCACTGGCCATCGTGACTGTTTAGTGCTTGTTGCCACCAAGCCCCCTGTGCTGAAGTGAGCCCCCACTGCCCTGCCTGTGGGGTCCTCGCCGCGGGGTCCTCAGGCGCAGGCTCCAGGGCCGGCTGGCCAGGGTGCCGCTGCCAGGGCTCCCTCTGACTAGGGCAGCACTCCCCCATCCGTCTCCCCCCGCCGCGCCGGGCCAGAAATCCTCAAGGATGGATCCCACAGGCTTGGGGAACATATACCAGACGGGGTGGAAGAGCCAGCAGCATTGCCCTGGGAAGCCTGGCCCCAGACCGACCACGGGTCCCTCTCTGGGGTCTCCAACCCCTACCGCTCCCTGTGGCCTCATCCTTCACTCTCGTGTCCCCCCAAACCACAGACGGACTCAGAGCCATTGAGGGGGGCATCAGGACCACCCAGACAGCCTGAACCGAGGCACTGCCCCGTATTAGCTACGTGCTTTCTTGAAGGTGCTCCATCTGTCTGTGCCTTCATCTCCTAATCCATAGAATGGGATGATGGTAAGTGATGCAGGCAGGGCTCCAGCCATAAATTCACTCCTGGCTGAGTTCACTCCTCAGCATGAAGGACAGTCAATAAAAGGTGATTATTGTTATGCTGGTCCTGAGATTGTGCTGGATTATCTGCAGCAATTTTTTTAAATGTCAAAATGTGACTTGCTCATATCTGATTTCTCGACATAAATGAAATCAGAATAAGCAAAGTGATGATGATGATGATGGTGATGGTGATGGTGGTGATCTCATGGTCACCATTTTCTGAGCCTTCACCAATGTACCTGGCATGGAGTTAGGGACTTGGACGCATTCTTTCATTTAATCTTCACAATAACCCAATAAGGTAGAGAGACCTTTTTTAAGCCCAATTTATTGCGATATAATTTATCGACAGTAAAATTCATTTTCGTTTAGATACACAATTCTACCAATTTGGACAAACATATATAGTCATGTAATCACCACCACGATTCAGATAGAGAATGTTTCCATCACTCCCCCAAATCTGTGTGTGATCAACATTTCACCCCCATCTCCAGCCCCTAAGCTATCATTACTTTGATTTCTGTCCCCATTGTCTTGCCTTCTCTAGAATGTCATATAATTGGAATCATACAGTATGATAAATTCTTGAGATTAATTTTTGATTACACAGCAATACATGAATATTTTATTCAAATTAAAAAAATCTGCAACACTGCAGATGAGTCCTACGTCTGTTTGAAACCGTAGCCAGTCCCACCCCACCCCCCTCCTCCGCAGGAGGGCTGAGAGCCAAGCGTTTAAGAGCTGGCAAAGCAAGGCCAACCGGATCAGAGCAAACACTGGGTGTTAACGAACTAGAGGGGCCATACAGTAAAATGCAGTGCATATTCCCCTCATCTCACAAAGAGGCCAGCCCAGCGCCCCACAGCTACCCCGCAGAGGAACCTAGAACAGACCTCAGGTCTCTTGGCCCCCACGTCCAGGCTCGCCACTCTATGTGACTCCACAGGGCGACGGGGAGATGCTAAGGGCAGAAAGTCCCTCTAAGCAGGGCAGGCATCTGTGGGAGAGTCCACCCCTCATCATGCAGCTGCAACCAGGGCCAGGTCTCACTTTGTCAGGTCTCCCCATCCCACCTTCTCTGCTCCCACCTTGACTTCTAGAATGCTGATGGCAATGTTCCTTTAACTGCTGCCACCAGCAGGGAGAAAACCACCTGGGGCTGGAGCAGTCAGGTCCACCAGGAGAACTGAGACAGGGAGTGAGTCTGCCTGCAGGCCGAGCCACAGCCTGGGGTCCTGCCCCAGTCATGAATGAGGTCAAGGACTTGCTATGTATAAATACCTCTTCCACCTCTGATATTCTCCCACAGGCCTCAGCGAGCTAAGCTCACACCTGGAGAGGCAGAAGCTGGTAGGTGGCTCCCACTCGCCCCTCCTTTTTTAGTATCTGAACACACGGCCACCCAGCAAGAAGACCACATTTCCCAGCCTCTCTTCCAGCTATGTGCTATTATGATCTGGCCAATGAGATGTAAATGGAAGTGTCATGTGGGGCTTCTATAACAGCTCCTTTAAAAAGTGGAAATGGGGTGTGTGTTTGTCAAGTCGTCCTACCCTCCCTTCTTCTATCCTGCTGTTTGGAATACAGATATGATTGCTGGAGCTCCTACAGCCACCTTCTCACTGTGAATAGAAAGCCAGCATGAGAATGGGAACAACACAGAGGAAAGTGGGACCAAGAGTTGGAGAAGGAAACCAAGGTCTTAGGAGAACATTAAATAAATAAATAAATAAATAAACAAACAAACAAACAAACAAACAAAAAAAAAAACCCTCCCAGATCAAGCTGTGCCTGAAGCCAGGAACCGTTGAACTTTTTAGTTATTTGTGCAAATAAATTCCCTCTCCCACATCTCCCACCCTTTTTTCCCACTAAACCAATTTAAACAGTCTTTGATCACCTTGTAACCTAGAGAATCTCAACTCACACAAGACCACCATTTTTATTTTGTTAAATTCTACCCAGAACAATGAAAATCTTCAAAGGTAGTCTCTGCTGAGAGAAGGAACACCCAAGGGCCATATCATAAGTACTCACATCCAGTCACCTACTGTCATTTCTCCATCTGAGCACCCTGTGGTAAGGGGCTCTCAAGAAAGGCCAGCATTTCCATAGCTCTGGAAAGGGCTGCCACAAACTCAAGAGATTCCTGAGATAAACTAAGGGGGGAAATACCTTCCTCACAATAAAAGAGTAGCTGGATGGTGCTACATTAAACTGAAAACCTCCCCTCTCCTGAGCCACCTCACAATCCTGGGCCTGCTTCTCAATATTCTGGGGCCCCAGGCCCCCAGCCTTTCCTCACTCACTGCCCACCAGACCGGCAAGACCCAGGCGCCCTTCTCAGTCCTGCTGTAGGACACTCAGCGAGCCCCTTAACCCCTCTGAAGTGTCAATCTGGTCAGGAATAAAACAGGAACACTCAGATCAGATACATCAAAGTACCTACCCCAATCTCTGGCATACAGTGACTAGTCACAAAATATTCACAAAAGTGATTTTTTTTTTTTTTTTTACTGTCCAAGCTTGTCTGGGGTATCAAAACCTGGTAACATCCCCATTAAGCTCTTACAAAATGGGTGTGGGGATCCCCACTTTTCAAAGAACCTCCCTCAGGTGTCTCATTTTCACCTCCTAAGGGTGGTGTGGGGTGGGGCAAAGGAGCCATCACACCCATCTTATGGCCACCGAGGCTTGAGGGGGTGAGTGACCGGCTCAAGGACGCATGGCTTTTTGAAGAAGTGTTGGTTTCTAATGAGTGCCTGCATTCTCTCCAAGAACCCAGCCCCTGCTTCCAAAAGGGGACAGAGCGAAAAGGTACTCCAACAGGCCATGTGAATTGCTGGGGCGGGGGGAGTGAAGGGCACCAGTCCTAGCCTAGGGCCCTAGAGCCCACCCCAGCACCACTACATCGGATCAAGAAAGACTCACCCAGCATGATGGCGTCCACAGCTCCCCCAGGACAGAACTCGATCATGATCTGCAGAAAACACAAGGCAAAGTAACAGTGAGCAGGGGTGCATGGCCCAGGACCCGGCCCCAGTCCTGGCAGGATCAGCCCACACCCAATGCCCTGGCTCCCCGGCCTCTCCTCCTCCTGCCCCGGGGCCTGTCCAGTCTGCACTACCCTAATCGGAGCCCAACCCTCACAGGAGGCTCTAAAATCCAGAAGGGTTGCTGGGCATTTTGCAGCGGAAAAAAGAAAGTTGCCACGGAAACCCACAGCTGCCACGGACACCTCTGCCCCCAGGCCTGCACCTTCCCTGCTCCTCTGCCTGCCCCCCTCCTGGGCCCCCACTTGCCAACTGCCCCTTCCTAAGCTTCCCAGCCAGCAGTCCCAGCAGCCCCTCTGCCCGCATACAAGCCGGCCACGCCCTCGCCGAATCCCAGCACCCATCTCTTGCCTCTCTCCATCTTCTAGAGGCCAGGGCCCTCGCTGGCGTGGAACACCAGAACATCGGCGCCTTGAAGACCAGCTCAGGTGTAGAAACCCAGAAAGGGGATGGGGCTGACCAAGGCCACAGATGATTTAGTGGCAGGTCCTGCACTAGAAAGGTTTCCTAACTCCCCAGGTCATTCATTTACACATGCATTCATTCATTCATCACACACCCAGTAGGTAGCGGGGCCCCGGAGAACAACCAGACCCAGGCCCTCAAGGGGCTCCCAGCCCAGCACAGGGGCCAGAGAAGGACAAGAAGACTGCGAAGTGCCATTGGTGCTGACCCAGGCCCTCCCTCTCTGGCTCTCTCCCATCCTCGCTCTTTTTCTGGGTTCCTGGCACGCGTGCAAAGATGCTGTATTTTCCTGAAATTACAGAAGCAAGTAGGTGGGGACGGGGCAGAGCCTCACAGACTGTAGCAGACGTTCCTGAAATCTCCTCCCGGCTCCCAGCACCCGGCCCTGCTTGTGGCAAAGTCCCTCCAGCTCAGCTTGGCAGAGGCAGGCACCAGGCCGTGGGGCCCATCATTCTCGCAATGGAAAAGAAAACTGCTGCCATGACCCCCTGGGCCAGAGCTGCTCTCCAGCCAGAGGAGGGAGGAGAGGCCTCAGTGTTTCCATGAGTCTCCAGCTTGTGGTGGACCTTCCAGAGACTTCCCGGCAATGTACATATAAGGATGCAGTGATGCAGGGCTGGACCCAGGTCCCCGGCCCACTGTTCACTAGCTATGGCCTTGGGACACTAGAGGTACTAGATACCGGGGATAGCAACACAGTGCTGGCCCTCTGGCAGACAGGCCTGCACCACGCCGAGGGGAGGCTCCATGGCAGGGGACAGAGCCACGTACGGGGACACCACCAGCTCGCACACCACCTCCTGCCAGGGAGGATGTGGCCTCTGAGGCTCCTAGGGTCACTCCAGTCGTGCCTGACCAGTACTCCCCCAGGACTTCCAACACTACGGCGACCCTGGATAAAAGCCATCAGAGATGAATTAATGTCCTACAACCCAGAACAGTGAGATGAGGTACTTCTTTCTCCGCCTCATTCATTCATTCACTGCTTCATTTAACCAACCACCAACCAACCAGACATGTTCCCAGCAGTCAGGGAACAGAGGTGACCCAGACACAGGCACTGACCTCTTGCAAGACAGCATCTCATTCTGCCTTTTAATAATTCTCAGGTCCCCAGAAGGGCAAAAAGCATCCCATTAACTACTAGAAAAGCCCAGCCCCAGCCATGAGAGGCAATGTGGAAAAGAAGCAAACTGTCATTATGCAAAACCACTTCCTACCTGAGCAGCCTGTAAGATGGGGGGATACACACCCAAACCCCACCAGAATGACAGGTCATCCAAGCCTTGCTGGGCGACAGGCATCCAGCTGGGGCTCAGTCAGTACAAGCTGTTACTAGGACTCCTTCCTTGAGCTCAAAGGTCTGGGATTTTTCTGTTCTTGTGTTAGTTTTGGACACTCCATGAAAGGTATCCTCTCTCCTCTCACCCAGAAAAATGCAAACAGGAACAAGTGTTTGCATGCAATTCTACTGAATTCTCACATACCCTGAAGTCCCCCCAAACCCAGGTCAGGAGCCTCCGCTCTGCTTCTCCAGCCCTTACTATGTGTGGCCTTGGGTAATGACCACCTCTCTGTAAAATGGGAGAATACTAGGGACCACCCAGAGTTACTGTAAGGACTGGATGAGGTGGTGTTTACAAAACAACAGGCCCTACGCCACCCACACAGCGAACACAGGGCAGGCTCAGGCACTTCCCCCTTCTCAAACAGCCTGTGGTTGAAAAGGACTTGAATTTGGGGCGCCTGGGTGGCTCAGTTGTTAAGCGTCTGCCTTCGGCTCAGGTCATGATCCCAGGGTCCTGGGATCGAGCCCCACATCGGGCTCCCTGCTCCACGGAGAGCCTGCTTCTCCCTCTCCCACTCCCCCTCTGCTTGTGTTCCCTCTCTCGCTGTGTCTCTGTCAAATAAATAAAATATTTAAAAAAAAAAAAAAGAAAGAAAGAAAAGGACTTGAATTCAAGTCCTGGTACTGCCACTTAATTGGCTATGTTAATTTGAGTAAGTCACTGAAACGCCCCAAGCCTCAATTTCATCTGCAAAATGGCACTAATCACCTCTACCTCCAACGTCAAGGCAGTTAAATGAGATTCTCAACATGAAAGTGCAATAACCAAGCCACACCAATTAACGTGCTCCTGTTGGATCTCTCGCAAACAAAACCACCAGCCAGTGTCACACTCAGACCATGTTATTCAGGCTTCCCACAAATCTCTGCCTTCCTAGAACTACAGTTCATCAACATGCCTGCTGTTATCATCAAGACTCAGTGCGAGCTGTGGCCAGATCCAGGCAGTTCCTGCATTTGTCAGTGAAGTTGTCCCTTACACAATACCCTTACACAAGGTCTCTATGACCACCCTCTCCAGAGTTCAGCACTAGGAAAGCTTGAGCATCCTGCCAATCTGGTTCGCTTCCCCTTCTGCAATTCAAGATCTCCATGACCCCATGCACTTCCCTTTTGTAATTTTTTAACATTTACTGATTGATTGATTGATTGATTGATTGACTGATTGCTTTGGCTGCTGGGAAGCTCTGAGCTTATCTTTGGTTTTATTCCCAGGAATACATGTACCAACTTTTGGCTCCACGCCAGGATTAAACCCACAATATTTCACAACTTTCATATGGACCCCAATAAAGTGTTTTTTAAAAGATGACCATCCGGGGCACCTGGGTGGCTCAGATGGTTAAGCATCTGCCTTCAGCTCGGGTCATGATCCCAGGGTCCTGGGATCGAGCCCCATGTCCGGTTCCTGGCTCAGCGGGGAGCCTGCTTCTCCCTCTGCCTCTCCCCCGTGCTTGTGCTCTCTCTCTCTGTATCTCTGTGTCTCGAATGAATAAATAAAATCTTTAAAAAAAAAAAAAAAGATGACCATCCTGCAGAAGTCTGAAGAAGCAGCACTCTTTGGTATTAATCACGCATGTGTTAGAGTGATGTCCCACTAACCTTTGTGTAGCTTCTGCCTGACTATCCTCTCACATAGAGCAAAATATGGTTTGGGTTTTCTCTGCCCCCGCCCTTTTTCCTCCCATCCTTTCGGCTTTAAAAATTTCACATCTTAGTGCCTTGATGTGATACCAAAAAAAAAAAAAAAAAAAAAGGTCCCCTCCATAACATAGCTGTTACTAGGTTCCATTACATGGATCTTAATGCTCTACCTTTCAGCTTGTCGGTGCCAGGGCTGCAGGGGACTTCTACAGAAGTGCATGGGTTCTGGGGCGCCTGGGTGGCTCAGTCAGTAAGCGTCTGCCTTCGGCTCAGGTCATAATCCCAGAGTCCCGGGACTGAGCCCCACGTTGGGCTCCCTGCTCAGAGGGGAGCCTGCTTCTCCCTCTCCCTCCCTGCTCTCCCTCTCTCTCAAATAAATAAATACAATTTTTTAAAAAAAGAAATGCACAGGGTTTACTTAACAAAATAATCTCAATTAATAAAATAATGATAAATAAAAATAAAATAAGCATCTCACGACCTTAGGAAGTCACTAAATATACATGCTTAGAAAACAGAATGGAAGCACATACGTGAATACCCAGGGAAGGATTACAGGTGATGTAGACTTGTATATATGTTCCACATTTTAAGCAACAAATAGGAGTTATAAAAGTATTAGAAGTAAACTTTTTTTTTTAATGGTAAGAACTGGCCTAAAATAACCCGTGGCTATAGATGCATCTATTCAGCTGCAGGGGGATGGGGTATCTATGCCCGTCCACAATTAAAGCCCCAGCAGGCCTGTGCTCACTGTGTCCAGGGATGATAAGAGGCTCCTGAGGATCAAGGGTTCCTGGGTGCAAAGCTCAAGGCCTCTAAGCCCTCACCAAGCCCCAAATCCAACAGCTGCAAGTACCAAGGACCGACTCCTTGAAACCAGCAGAAACTCATCCTTTATGCTCCCTTGAGAGCAGCAAGCCATTTGGGGCTCAGGGTTTTCTCAGGACCTGGAGAAGTGAGGTTTGTGATCAGTTTAATCCATCAACAAGTACCAACCGAGGGTCCACCAGGGGCTCCACAGTGCTAGGCACAGCAGGGCCAGAAAAGTCATATTTAATCAACAAATACTATCTGAGCTCTGTCTATAACAAGCCTGGGGACTGGGGACCCAGGATGAACCAGACAGGTCCCTGCCCCAAGACCACAGGCAGAGGCCAATACATGCACATGGTGACTGTGTTACCTAAAAACCTGTGGCCATCCTGGAGGGCCTGCCAAAGAGCCGGCTTTGAAGGGCACATTTGCCACATGAAGAAGGACAAAGACATTGCCGGCAGAACACGGCAAGAGCAGCGGCTACAGCAGCGTGGAAGAGTATGAAGGGGGGGTGGTTCAAATGGATGGGAAGAGAGCGGGTCACAAAGGTCACCTGGAACTAGAATTCAAACATCTTAAAGGATGAACTTGACCCTGAAAGCTCTTGTGTGTGTGTCTGGAGAAAGGCACCAGAGGGTTTTAATAAGCGGTGTCACAGACAGGTTTCTGCTTTAGAGGATCCCCCTGGATACGGTATCTCTAGAGGGTGGAAACGCAGAGGAACAGTGGATTTAGCACAAAGAGCAAAAAGGCCAAGGTATCGTGGCTGTCTTCTGCCTGCGGACACACCATTCTTCCCTTCCCTTTTGTGAAACAGTCATGATAGCTGAGTGGGACTCACCTCATCCCCAGTGGGGAGGGGAGGCCTAACCCAATCAGGGAACTTCTCTGCCTCTTGCCC